AAGAGAAAAGTTCTTGAACATTATGCCAACTAAAGGCACTTTAGCTAAAAGTAACTCGGAAAGTCTTGTTTAGGAAAAGTACCTAAACCTCTGTTTCTGTTCCTCACTCTTGTTTAGGAAAAGTACCTAAACCTCTGTTTCTGTTCCTCACTTGCAAATAAGGATGCCGGCCTTGTTAAAAAGAAATCTCTAATTCTACTGATGGCTTCAATTGAAAGCTCTAATTTATCTTGACAGGATTAGGAACACTTGAGTCCTTTGAATTTAATAAGATCTATGTAGGGAGCATAATGGAAGCAATAGGTAAAGAAAAATAGATGTTTCTTCTAAATAATTTCCTATGAAATGGTTTGGTATCTTTAGAACCTCTTTAATTTAGAAGCTATAAATGAAAGAAAAATGGACTGAAATAATCCCTGGAGTTCTGCCAGATGACATGGCACATTTGAAAGCAAAACCTGAAAATTACCGAGTGTTATTTATGCTTGCATTACAGATTTTCCATGACAACTCGGGGAGGCTGGGAATTCTGTGGCAGCTGCCAGTGGCCTACCAAACCACTAAGACTGGCAGTCAGACCGGATCAGCCATTCTGGCGGTATAAGATCAAAAACTCTGAGTGAATAGCATATTGATTGGAAACAATAGTGTGAGTTGATCGCTCTTGCCAATTAGTTTCTTCTGGGAAAGGTTTTTCACACTGGAGGGGCTTTCTACGCTATTTTCTACTGTAGACAGATCACTTAATCTAAAGGAGAAAAAGAATTTTGACCATGGATCCTCCATTTCCCTCACTGTTTGACCAACGCTATGTATGTACCTACCTAGTGGAGTAAACGTAGTGTAGACCAAGGATATCTTCCACATCCATTCTGTTGATGTTGATCTATTTCTACACACTGGATTGGTGTTCATATTCCTCTTTCCCAGCCAAATCCCTAATTGTCATGTGAGAAAGTAGCTTTTTTATGTAGTGTAAATAATATTTAAATTTTGTCTGCACAACTGCACCATACCATCAGAAGAAATTAAGGAGGACTTATCCTTTATAACATTTGTCACAAAGACAAGTATACTGACCTGGCAAATAGGGGATATGTGTTCAGATATCTTTAAGAAAAAAAAGATTCAAAACCATGGCTTCTGCATTGTAGGTAACTGAGTTAAAAGGAGATGATATCAGTTCCTCCTCCGAGGAGTCCCTCTTCCTATACCCATCTTTTCCTTTGTTTTTTGACAGTTAGTTATATAAAATGAATCTTCTTTTTGGCCTGGAGTATTTTTTTATTTCAGCAAGAAAAAGTTTCAAACTGCTATTCATTGTTGTGTTATTTCTTCTATTTGATGGTGAAGATCACACAAACCTATCTAGATTCTTAATGGTGAGAACTGCATTCCTTCATTCTGTGTTAAAACCATAATTGAACCAGCTATTCAAATTCAAATGCATGATTGTGTATCAGATTATCTAACTAGTTTATCTTCATCCAGTAGTCTTCCTTTTGACAACTCGAAAGATGAAGATTAATGGAAGTTCTGTGGAATAAAAATACAACATTTTAAAGCATATTAAGTTATAAAGATTTTTATTTTTCATTCATTGAACAGGACTGTTGAAACTCAGAAAGGAAAATTACTTTGCTTATGTAATGAATTTATTTTAGGACTGGCATTCAATGCTTCTGTTTTATCACCAACCAAAGGGGCAGAAGCTCATATTCTAATGGTTTAGATATCAGTCATCTTTGCATCTTAATCCTACCATTAAGGGCACCGATGACAAAGATACCAAGGGAGTTGCTGTAGACTTCAGTTATCTTATTCTTTAACAAAGTACTTAAATTTTCTTGATTTCTTTATTTTTCTGCCTTTTAGATTTAATTTTAGTCTAGTATTACAGAAAGTTTAAAATACAAAAATAAAAAAAATTACTCTGTTTTAGGGTTTAGTTGACTTTCCTGTTGGTAAAAGACAGATTTTCTGATTTTTTTTCATAGGGAATCATTTGTGACTTAAAATGCCATCTTTTTTTCTTGTTTTGAAATTCATGTAGGTTTGCGACTGATAGATAGGACCCTTTTTGTTGTTGTTTTTGTTTCTTCTGCATAATCTATATTTGACTATATATGTACAGGATAATTTCTCACTATTCATTTTTTCTGCACCTGTTTCACTGAGTCCTTTCCTCTTTCTTCCAGTTTTACCTACAGACTCTACACTTGCATTGTTTTCAGTGTCATGCTCTCTGAAGCAGTCGTATTTCTCTTGCCTACAAACCTGTTAGCAATATAGCTACTCTATTTGGCACTCCATATAAGAAAAAATCTTCTCCTGTTTAGTTAAGTAATAGGAATTAGTAATATTTTTGTTAAATACTGTATGTAGTAAAAACTGTATTGAAAAACTCAGAGTTAGTGGTCAATGCTAAACACTTTTCCACAGATCTCTTTGTAGATTTTAAGACTCAAAGAGACTATTGTAGCATCTAACCTGTCGTGTATGAGCATCACGAGCCATGCTATTTTGCATAAATTAGCTGTGTATTAAATATGTCACCTTGTATCTAGCTATACTGTTGATTGTATGTAGGTGTTCACTTTTGAGTTGAAGTTGCTAGGATAGGAAGAATCCATGTTTTTTGTCTCTTATGTGTTTGGACACCTTCCTTATTAAAAAATAGCCGTATTTTCTGAGTTGGTTTCCCATGATAGAAAACCTGCTTATGGTATTGTACAGTTAAGTACCAATATCAGATGATATTGGTACAATATCAAACAAACAGAGAATTACCCTTCTGTGATTCTGTAATATTCCCGCTGTTGAACAAGAAAATCAAAACAGGTGTGTGCCCAAGAGCAATATCCTCTCTCCACGATTAATATCTACAGCTATCTAGGAGATGAGCAATATCCCTTCTTTCGTTTCCCATTTAGGAAGCATAGAATGAGCAGCTGTCCATGGTTAAGCATCTTCATTTGGGCAGAGGTAACTATAAGGAAGCTGCTATGGACAAGGAGAGCAGGTTTATAGTTCTGGTGTTTTAGAATTAGTACTTGAGAGCGTAAGACGAAAATGGTAACCTGATAGTCTGCTCTGGCTCTCTGCACCACAGATTTTGAAGAGAAGAGGTTTCTGTTTTTCAATAGGCAAAAAGTAACAGATACTGTTATGAGGATTCTTCCCTCCTAACCAGTATTTCAATGAAGTGTTGCTGACAGTTTGAAAGTATGTATTCACCTATAAATATCAAATATTTTGGAGGATTTATGCCATCTCTGAATTCATTTTGATTTATTAAAAGTCACTTCTTGTTTTTCGGTACTGGAGGATGTTACTATAACGTAGTTATTTGCCAAAAACGTACAGCATGTGCTTTGAAGGGAGGTTAAACTGGTTTTCTATCCAAGTCTGTCTCAGCTAGATGAAACTTCCAATGAAGATTGAGTGTTTCTATTATCAAAGTAGAAGAACTGGATATTAAACCTTTCATTTATCCCTGTCATTGGATGCAATCACTGTTCAGAAGGATGCACTCCTTGCTATCTTTTAAGGACAAAAATATTATTAGATGTTGTGGTCACTGTGCTTTAAAATGTTATTCCTCAGATGGATCTTTGTAACGATCGTAAACATTTTCTTTATTTTTTACTTTTGGCCCTGAATGTGGGACGCTAGGGAAGAAAAAAGGCAACTACTTCAGTCTTCCATCCTTCCATCCAAGTGCTGAAGATCTAGATTCTTCAGCATTTAAATGCAACATTGATGCTTTTAAAAATGTCCAAGTGTTCCATAAAGATTTGAAAGAAAGCTACCTAAAAGTTATGGTTCTTAGGTTAATCTTTTATTTATCTAAAGGATGAAGGAAGCTGTCTACTTCTGTGATATGAACTGCAATCAGCTTAAAAATAATTGACAAATTAATCCCCTCACAGCACTGCAATTGTAAAGGTGTTAGGTTTAATTAGGCTTGTCTGATTGCCTTGTCTAATCAAGAATAAAGGTGCTACCTTTGATGTCTAAGATTTTGGAGGGCCATCCTTGACCTGACAAGCTTGCGTGTTTTAATTATTGATCCCACCGTTTCTGCACACAGCCCCCTTAGCATTGCGTTGGCCTCACACCACCAAGCATCTAGAATAAGAAATTCTACCTGTGACACGTGCAAAGACATCTAACCTTGGAAATCTCAATTTATATTACTGGTTGACTTACCTGGAGTATAAAATTGTGTTCCTTTTTCCCTTCTGTAATCTTTCTATTATTATTATTTTGATATCCACATTAATAGTTGCAATGCCAGTTCAGTTTGATAAGGCTGCGGAGTTACTATTTCATGTGTGTGAAAGTATCATAATCACACCAGAAATTAATTAATACTCAGTGAAGATGCAATCATTTTCTCTTTCCAAAAGCAAGAAAATCTCATGTTTCAAATGTCTGTCTGCTTGAGGGAGTTTGAATTAATACACTTCTGTTTCAAGGCGGAGAAAGAAATCTGTTATTCCGGACAGTGCCCTGTTAAACAAGATGGTTTTACTTGAAATAATTAGGGGTTGGGCTCTGTGGGTGGCCAGCAAAGTGGAGCATGCAATTAAAATAGTTTAATTGTTCAACATTGTTGCATTTTTTAAATGAAATTCTTTTTAAAGGGAGGCTAGCTATTTGTCTTTCCACTTGGCTTTCCATTTCAATTAATGAAACAACAGTTTTTACTGGAGTGTATTATATAAGACTTCTCCCTTTAGAATAAGACTAAGCTGTTGTGTGTGTTTCTGGTTGTCTGTTTTTTGTTTGTTTGTGGTTTTGTTTGTGGCTTTGGGGTTTGTTGTGGGGTTTTTCTTGTTTTTTTTCCCTCCTGTTGGTTCGTTTGCGGTGTCACAAATGCGCTCGGACCTGTCCTAGCCGTGGAGAGCCCAGCCCTGCAGCTGCTCCCGGGAGCCGGGAACCTGATCCTCTGCTTGGCCGTTTTGCCCATCACGGGTTCTCCTCTTCCCTCGCAGGTGAACGAAGCCACGGTGGAGCAGCTCGTGCAGCAGTATCCCCATATAACCTTCAGCACGGTGCTGCAGGACTGCAAGAGGACGTTGGAACGGGCTTATCAAATGGGCTGGACACCCAATATGTCTACGGCCTCGTAACGCCGCCTGCGGCCGCGGCGCCTCCACCCTGCGGCGCTCCTGGCTCTCCTGGGGACTGCAGATTTTACTTGTATGGTGTTGCAGGAGTATTTTAAACTTCCTTTTTATCCTCATTTTATTTTCTACAAAGTATATATTGAGAAATCACTTATCCCAAAATGTCTCCTTTTTTTTTTCTTTTTTTAATTTTTATTTTTAAAACCAGTTCTTGTCTCATTTTTTAAAGATGAAAATGTTATGTTTGGTCTCTCTTAGAAATTGTGGGAGACAAACTGGACTGTGGTGTAGTCAGATACTTTTAACTATCCAGAATATAAAATTGTTACTCTAAAAATCTGCAAGTCCCCAAAGCTAAAGAGGTTTCACAGCCTTTCCTATGATGCAATATAATTGAGAGTTTACACAAGTTACAGTAAAATGGAAACAGCTATACGCTGACTTTGATGTACTGTACAACTATACTAATATTGAAGCAAAACTTCAGAAACGCATCGCATCTTTTCATTTGCATAAAAGATATAAAAGCCTTTGGCAGACTTCTTGAAGTGAATTCCTAATAGTTCTATGGATAGCTTGAAATTATAGAAGATATTAAGCTTGTTTTCTTCTGTTTACTTTCCTTTGCCTTGGTCATGTGCATTTTCTTTGATTTGTAAATGGTAACTCAGTGCTAGCACCAGTGTAATTGAGCAGTATAGGCCTGTGCTGAATCTGGGAGCTCAACTCAATGCTTATTATTTACCTAGACTAAAGCTACCCCAGGACTTTTTTAAGATGCAAAGTAATAAGAGAATCTGCAAAGAATTATAATTTTCTTATAAACATTTTGATGATTGCATAAATCATTATTTTGAATGGAAATCTTAGTAAATGAGGATAATGAATGACTATTTAATGGACAATCTTCTATTACTGAGCTGCAGAAGTGATTTCCTTTTTCATTTTCTTTTGTTAAAATGGTTATATGCTGTACAGATTTCTAAATCTTTGCACCTTGCCATTGTTGTAATAGGTGAGTCAAGTGCTCTACCTTTAACTCAACACCAATAACCGGTTCCACTTTGTAAAGTCTGATGCTGAATTGAAGACACCAACTGTCAGAAATAAGCTAGCAGGCAATATTTAAATATCCTACTGAAAAAAAAGGGTTTTTTTTAATGATCTTGTCTTCTCTGGTTACACTGTTATGTTTCTGAATTGTGAAATTCAGATGTGTAAGTAGAAGTTGGTAAGACGATTCCTCTGGTTTCATGATTATTATTTTAGAACAGGTCTATCAATGCAAGGAGTGCTGATCTCACAAAGGCCGTGTATAAAAGACTCCAAGCAGAGGTTTTGCATGATCAGGGGCTAACTGGCAAACTCTGGAAGCAATTTCTCAGGATGAAGAGGAGTACTTACATCCTCTAAATTATGAATCCTACGTATTGTACTGATTTTCATATGCGTACCCCATTTTTAGGCTACCATACTTGCAGTATTGTTTCTTTTTCTTTTTAATACAAAAGCTGTTTTGCAATATAGTGCATGTAGGAAAATAGCCAGAGTAAATACAAAAAGTTTCATTATCTGTGTGTCACGTCCCATTCTACGTGATTAAATTTTGACAGGCAGATAGTGAAATTATTGACATTGCAACTTCAGTCTGAAGTTGCACTAACCTTTAGGTATTATCATTTGGTTGCAAATGTTTTTAGTGTGTAACACTGGACAGTCTTTGGAAAGGTTACCGTGTTTTAATCCAAAATATGAAATGCTCAAGCTTGAGCTGAAGGTTTGCCATTATTGTCAAAACATTTAACTAATCTGGTCTGGTCTGGTGCAGCATAATCTGGAAAATGTTTAGTCTGACTGTATAAATCTATTGGACTGTATGTTCATTTCCATAGCATAATTCTTGACAACAGAAGCATCAGCTCAGAGTATTTCCAGTGATAGTGTTGAATGTTTTCTTATTAGACTTTTCGAAATGAGGATGAAAAAAAATTCTCTGGAAAAAAAAATATAAGGTAGAGTTTTTGCTTGAAATACTGTAACTACATGTGAACATGTACAATGCTGGGCTTTTTATCTACTCCAAAAAATAGCAACAATATTTTCAGAATAAAGCCAATGGGTTGTATTGCAGGTAGAGTGCAGATTCTTAGTCATTCTTCATTTAACGTCTTTTTATGAGTGCATTAAAACAATTCACACAATTTGTAAGTTTCTATTTTTCCGTGAAACCTTTGACCTTGCAATGAGTTGCAATAAAAAAAAAAAAAAAAAAAAAAAAAAAAAAAAAAAAAAAAAAAAAAAAGGTGTCTTCTGTTTATCTGTGCTGCTTAACTGTATTTAGACTGTGCTAACCAAGACTTGAGTCTACATCCCTGAAAATGCAGAACAGATCTGGGCACAGTCCTAAGCAACCTGATCCAAGCTGGCCCTGTTGTGAGTGTTGGGTTGGACCGGATGACCTCCAAAGATCCTTTCAAACTGAAAATAAAATAAAAACCCCTGACTCTTATTTAAGCTTGTGTGTATATTACAGATCTGGTACGTCATCTCTCTTCTATCATTAAGTCACTGTCAGTAGTCTTCTATAACATGTACCTGGAAACACATTTTCCTGTCAGTGTCTTGTCTCAAGCAAAATTTTACACGCTATTCGTCTTTTTGTTACTTTTCTGAACTCGTTAATCTTCATAAATCTCAGTGCAACTATTTCAATATTTTCTGTGGATTTTGGCATTTACACCGATTGGAATTTTCCATTGGAAAATAATCCTGTCATGTAATAAGTTCTTCGAACTGCGCTACTGCTACAGATAACTCTTTACTTTTCTTAGAAGTCCATTTTCCTAAATATTTTTGAAGAGATCAATGAGAGTGCTGCATGCTTTTTAATTTGTAACCATGATTTAAAGAAAGAGTCCCTTGTAAAAGTCAAAAATACCCCTATTCTACCTGATTCTAAACTTAACAGTAGATTTAAAAACTTGTGGGCAGATTCCAAGCTAGATTTCCTAGGTTTTGTCAGTCCCATGTTACTGTTGCAATTTCTTTGTTCCTTGAAGATCTTTGCTTAAACTTGCCCATAGGATTCTTCACCCTCTTAGGACTTGCAATAGCTCAGAATTTGCGTCATCGGGGACGTTTGGGGGCTGGAAGGGCTGGATTTGTTCAAACCACAAAGAGAAGACTAAAGCAAGCTCTAAGTGGCTAACTGGTGGATGGCTGCAGAGAAAAAACACAGTGAGATGTTTTTTGAGCTGCCCCATGAATGGACAAAATTCAGTGATTGCAAATTGTATATCTAATCAGATATAAAGAAAAATGACTTCACAGCCCAACAGTTAGACAGTCCAACTGGAGCAGGTTTGGGACATCTGGAAACATGTGGCACCTCCATCCTTGGAGAGATCCAAACACAGCACAGCAACACCCTGGGCAACCTGCTGCAGCTTGGCACTGTTTTGAGGAGATACTTGGACTCCGTGACCTCAGATCCCTGCCCATCCGTTGTATTCCGTGATTCCAAAGCTACGCTGCTTCCTCTGTCCCACCTCGGTATCCAGACAGGCCCCATTTCTGCAACTCTGTGCTCGTACAGCATGCGCACATGGAATTTGTTTCTCTCTCTTACTGAAGCACTTAGAAGCCCAAATTCAGGATTAGAAGCCAAGTTGTAGGCTCTACAGAGATGATATAAAACAGACCCTTCCCAAGGAAAATGCGGTCTCTGTAGTGCTGTCAGGCAGATAACCTTGTGTGCACGTAGGCTCTTAAGATAACAATTTATTTTCAATCATTCGCCATTCTAAATCCAGATCTAATTCTTTTTTAATCCCACTTGAATTGCTCACTTGGCTGTCAGTTTAACCCTCTCTCACCACTTTGAAGGCAATGAGAGGGGAGTGTCCTCATGAGATTTGTCCCCGCGGGGAAACTGGCTCCACGGTATTTTGCACACAGATACATGTTTTTTCTGTCCAGACTTACAGATGAACAGGAATTTCAGTGAACTGCCAAATCTATGCTAAGGTATCTTGTTCTAGCAAGTGCTCTATGCAGCACTAGACAGTCTGGACAAAGTGGATTTTTCTGAAAAGTAAAGTCGTCATAGATGAGGAGAAACTGAGCCCAGGACGGTCATAGATGGCTAAGTGGAGTTACCTTCAGCATTGTTAAGCCATAGCCCAGAGATTTGTATGCTGCTTCTACAGTCACTGAGTTGGCTTCCAGGGGGGCTCACTGATGGCCAGCTAAATTTGCAAGAAAAATACAGAGCTTTACTTAATAACACAGTGAACTTTACACACCAGTGAAGAAAGATATCAGGCCACAAATATGCAAGTTATGTCATAACAGAGACCCAAAACAGCTTTTAAGGAGGCTGATGGGAGCCTTCTCCAGGTTAAAAAAAAAAAAAAAAAAAAAAAAATCTGGTAAATTTAGGAGCACCGTTACTGAGTTTTTTTCTTTCAAATCACAGATTCATAGACATGCTTGGGAGATGCATTCTCCCAAGGGAGTCTTGAGCATGGAATCTCTCATCGATTGGCACTACTTCAAAGATTTAGTGTAGGATAACCAGGAATGATTGGCAAGAATGCTTTTGTTTCACTGAAATACAGTGGGTACTTAGTAAATTTTTGTGGCATCTTATTCTGTTTTTTTTTTTTTTTTTTCTCTGAAAAGCTGTAGAAAATATGTTAAATGACTCAAGATTTGTCTTCTTTTCCTCTTCTCACCCTGTGACTTTTTGAGTTGTAATTTCTTTCCTGCTGTGGTTATCAAGTAGGGAAACAAAATAAACATATTAGAGCTGTCTTGAAGATGCCAAGTTGATGGATTCATGTGGGAGTTCCCATGCATAATAGTCCTTAGTAAAATTATAGTACATGCAGATATCTTGCAAATGTACTGTCATCTTCAACTTCACTGGAAGAGAAGTCTGCTGGCCTTTGAAATTATGATCCAGTCATCTATTGAAGAAATAGCATTAGCTCTTGAATGACCATGCACCTATGTGTATCATAATTTCTTTACACAAAAACAGAATTGAAAT